TATTTTAATGTAAACATATCTCCAGCCTCCAAGTTTATTTCTTGTCTTGGTCATACCTTTCATTTTCATGATTTGTTAGGCTCTTGCAACATGCTCCTTTAGCCTCAAGCTAATCCCTGTCGTCTCCTCTTATAGTACTGCTTGACAATTGACACAATTGTTAGTGCTCTGGTCCATAATGAATCAGGTAATACCCCTCGGCCTCTGTAATCGAAAAGTTCCGATCTGTATGTCGGGCTTGAGGCCTTATGAAATTTTTCTCCATCTACTACTCCGAAATTTCCCAAGCCTCCCCTGACAACAATCAACCTCTCCCTGTACTCATGACAGTCCCTCCTTGAGCTTTGGATGCATCTCCATGAGCTTCTTTATCACTCTTTCCATTCCTCCTTAATTGGCTCTCCAGTCTGGATTTTTTAGAGCTAATAATCTTTCCTCCATCCCGGATTTAACTGCTCCAATTCCCTTCCAACGCCTATCAGCCTTCTTTGCTGCCATTCATGATTACTAGTTCCAACCACAAAAAAGAGAGCCGAATCAACGATATGGTCTTCAAACAGCTAAAATAGGCACGGGGAGAAGAATACTCAGCAGAAGATTACGAAAGGAGATTTCTTGATTTTGTTGGATACCGCCGATAGGACCAATTTGATGTCATTGAGTATCAAAAATAGCAACAAAAACTTCTAAGAGAATTCAACACAAAAATAGAATTTACTTTAGACGTAATGTTACGCGGTTCATGCCAGGAAACGGCCCGTTGGCGCGGCGTCAGCACATCCTACAGAGGCGAAACAGTTCGACTCTTGCTCTGTTGTCCGCCTAATGGATGGTCCCACCACTTAATTGAAATTCAATTGGATAGAGGGCGAACTAGTGCTTTTGGGATGGTGAAATTAATTAGGAAAGCTTTGTATTAAAGGCTAGGGATATTAGGCGGATTATGTTTTGATTGTTCTCATTTAGGGGTTTCGTTTAGGTATTTGGCTCCAGAACTCTCTTGTCTAGAGATTGGGAGAGACCGATCCTCCTCTGAATGAGGATGGATTTCTTGTCATCTTATTTTCCTTAGTTTTGCTTTGATTTTCCTACCTCTGCAATATATTGTTTTTGGGCTGTTTTCACCCAGAATATTTGCATATTCTGCCGTTTTCACAATTGGTGATCATGTATCTGTCTATAGCGATCTCAAGTATTACCCTTAAAGTTATTGCTGACTCAATGTATTCCTATCAGTTATACATACGAAAGCTTGAAGATATCAATGATAGTGCTTTCAAGAAGACGTCACGACTCTTCTCTCCTATAACCGTAGAGCCGCTATGGATCTCTTATACAACTAAAGAAACTACAAACAACTTCTAATATCAGATTCCGCATTAATATAAAAACACTATACATATAAATACAAGCCTTCTTGATAAGCAATCAAATAATTAAAATTTCAAATATAGTTTCTCGAAGATGTCTGCCCTCCAAATATCATCTTTAATTAGAAATTATCCCTAATTAGATCCCATTCAAAATCCGCTCCAACCTTCGTGCCCTTTTCAATATAGTAATCCTTGCCCTTTCTGACTGACCTCTCCCGTATTCATCAACCTCTATCTGCTTTATTGCATCTGCATTATCTCCTGTTTTTCCCTTCTTTCTTTTATGTGTCTTCCTGCTTTCTGAATTTCTTTCTCAGTATTTCCTACTGTGTCCTCTAATTATTATATTATTTTTGCACTTCAGACCTACAGATGAGATACTCATCACAGAACTCCTGAATGAAAACCGGCTTTAAAGTTTACTTCTTAAGTCTTAAGCGTATACATATGTTTCTTATTGGTGGGCAAAGCCTTGGAGAAGTTGGTTAAGGCACCTCCATTGGATATCTGAGGTCATCGAGTTCTACTTTGTGTCATGGAAAGCAACACATTTTGTATTACAGGAATAAGTGATATACATAGTACCCTCTCTAAAAAAAAGGGTACCTCATATTTTGGTTGCATCATTCAA